TGCTAAATATCTAACATCTGATGGAGAGTGGATTTTTTTCCCTATTAATAGTCTATTGCAGAGGCACTACCACTATTACCTATGCATTTCTTTAATCTGCTTTCTGTTTCCTTCCCATAGAGCAAAGAACATGGGTACAGAGGAGACTGAAAAAGTTTCACTTGGAAAAGCTGAATTATAAAAGAGATATAGATTACTTGAGATTATTTACATGAGGACATGGTAATAATAACTCATAATATAACCCAAAATGGTGTGTGGAGTGGTGTGGGTGCAGGGGGGGAGTCAACTCACTGCTCTGTCACTCAGCAGTATGGCCACACTAGGAAGAGTTGATTTTGGAAATTGTTGAGTAGCGCAGCTGGTAGGGAATATAGCATCACAAATCAATGTGCTCTTTTCACAGATACTTCTGTTTGGTCGTAAAAGCAAGCGAGAGTTTTTGGATGTGCCAGCTCATCCTGTCCCCTACTTCTTGTATGGAGGGGCTAGTAATCACCCCCAGAGCAGCTGCACAAAGAAGAGAGCAATCCAATAACTTGTCTCTGTTTCATTGTACCCTAACAGGACAGTGCTGCTCTCTAGCAGACACTCTGCCTTCATCCATAATCCCATTTAATGATTAAATCTAGGTCAGGAGTTGAAACCACAAAAAACTAATTGTCTACATAACTGTAACATTTCTTGCACTGTAAAGATAAACAAAGACAGAAAAACAGATATTTTGAAAGACTTGAGGAAATTCTTCCTAGGTATTTCATTGCACTTTGAACAGGAATAACAAAAATTGGGGGAGAAATGTAATTTGTGAATTTGCACAAATCTCTTCCCTAGAATTCCAAGTGGCGTTTTTGTCAAATTATGCAATACCTTCTAAAATCATTGTATATTTTACAAATATGAAGTAATCTGCTTTGTAACTCTTTCTGTCTAAATGCACTGGCATTACATTTCAGAGCACACCTTTACCACCTTGTAAGGCAATTTGGAATGTTTCCTGAAGCAGGGGGTAAAAAAAAAGAAGTTACAGCCCCTTTACCTTCCTGACCAATATATTCTGCGTTCAATGCCAGGGATTAATATTACAGTAGAGTTGTATCATCTCCCACATCAAGCTTATATGGCTGAGATGCACTGAAAATATTAAAAGAAGAAGGAGGCAATTAATGCAGAAAAAACCCCTTAACCTTAAATAAAACCATTCCACTTTCTATCACTTTGCTAAAATAAGCTTTTTGGCAGATGCTAATATCCTGAGCTGGCTGGCAGCCTGAAATGAGTTTGTGGGAATCAGGTAGCACAAACGGGTGGTTCGCAGAGAATGTGAAGCCTCCTGTGAGGTTATTTAACATTTTCCTGATGTCCCAGGTGTCCACAATGGGCCAGAGAAGAGATACAATCCTTGCCACTGGAACATAAAATCAGTGCAGCAGTGTATGCAATGCAAAATTTGGGTGTCATACGGGATTCTCGATATCATTACACAGTGCTGCCACTCTTTCCAAGTACATAACCTTCTACAAAATCCAGTCCATGCAGAGATCAGTCAAGGGTCGGGAGTGGATGAGTCACAGGCATTTGGAGTGTGACATTATGTGGGTTCTGCTCTTAACTCTCATTGTATTTTTCAGCATACAAAGTATGAAAAACATAAGCTAATTTTCTTGATCGCTGCTATAACAACCCCTTCTTGTTGACTGCTCTCTGCAGAGTGCTTTAAAATAAAACTTAGAGCTATTTAACTGTTTTGCCAATTAAAGAGTGTAACTGAGACTGATCTTGACTGTAGTGTAGTTGTTTGTTGAATATAACTTTGCTGTAACTGCTGATTTTTCAAAATACATACACCTCTAAGAGCTCTTGTTACACCTCTAGTGGTAATAGCATATATTTGTGGTATTGAGTAGTGCTGGGATTCCTCCACAAGGTTCTAGTTCTCTCTGCAGTACCCAAAGGTTTAGACTAGTTATCCATATACAGAGCCTCAGGCTCTATATAGCATATATCTGAGATAAAAACAAACAGCAAAATAGTCATTTGAGCATGCAGCAAATATCTAAAAATAGGTTTAGACTCCTAAACTTACATGATTCATAGGTGGGTACATCAGTCATCAACAACTCTGGCTTTATTTTCTATAACAATTCCCAGAAAATGAAATATAGACCAAGGAGTCTGCAAGCATGAGCATAGTAACTAATTATTATAAGTTAAATGATGATGGAAGTCTATGTCATGGTTACCGTCACTAGTAAATGCAGAATGGCTTATCCCTCACTGAGAGAAGGATGAGGAACCTTATACTTACACAAGGTGAGATAATTCCTAGAGCCAAGCACTGCAGAGGAGGTAACCCACGGGCCAGACGCTCACTGACCCTTCCATGACTTATCTGAGCACCCATATCCTACACTAAGTGGTTTTTTTCTAATAACACATGGACCATGAGATCTAGTCCTTCCAAATTCTTTTCAGAAAGGGCAGGATTGGCATCTGAGAGCATTCAACAGCGTAAGCCAGTTGTGCCTCCTGAGTAACATATTTCCCTGTTTTCAGTGCAGTATATAGGGAAGAGGAACACCATCATCGTTTAATATGCACACCTTGCTTCTTACCCATTAATTACCAGGAGCAGTTCTAAACTCATTTTACACAGAGAGTGGTTTATATTTATGTGAGATTAACTTGACCTTAATTTTATTACATTTGGAAATATGACAAAACAGCCTACACCATTATGTCTCAGATGTGTTTGTGAGTGCTTTAAGCATTTACAGCACACTCAATGCTAAATATTAAATACCATGTCAGGCAAAATGTTGTTGGTGCAGTAGTAAAAATGGCAGCTTTATTACATTCTCAATGTAATGAAACCAATCATCTTTTTTTATTATTATTTTTTTTATTTTTTTATTTTTTTATTTTTTTTTTTTCTACATAGCGCATCTAAAAATGACTGGCAACACACAGATGCACCTAGCCCAGTATCTAGAGAATAAAGACAAAGTTTTCTAGTTACTTCTGACTTCAAGTTTCCATACTCAGGAAAGTTTTGTTCACTGTAAAGTACTAAAAAATTATATGCCATGTTAGAGATGCTAGATAAACCTCTGTTACTGCTGTGTGATACAAATGAGAAGCAATGAGTTTTCCTTAGTACTCCACTGGAATACTGCTTATTCTGCTTCAGATTAATTTAAATTTAGGTGTGGGAATTTTACAAATGTGATATGAAAGCTCAAAATGCTACTTTCCCCCATGAACAAATGTTAAGAATGTTATCCATCAGAATAGCACCCAACTGCACTGTTATCTCCAATAAGATGGTGCCTGCTGTCATTCAAACAAACAGATGCGTTCATTGACCTCATTAATGTTTATAAATATATAAAGAGTGAATGTCAGGAGGATGGAGCCAGGCTCTTCTCAGTGAGGTCCAATGGTAGGACAAGGGGCAATGGGTGCAAGCTGGAACACGGGAGGTTCCATGTAAACATAAGGAAAAACTTTTTCACTGTGAGAGTGACAGAGCACTGGAACAGGCTGCCCAGGGAGGTTGTGGAGTCTCCTTCTCTGGAGACATTCAAAACCCGCCTGGATGCGTTCCTGTGTGACCTACTGTGGGTGATCCTGCTCTGGCAGGGGGGTTGGGCTATAGAATCACAGAATGTTAGTAATCATCTAGTCTAGTCTAGACTGGATGATCTTTCAAGGTCCCTTCCAATCCCTAACGTTCTGCGATTCTGTGATTTCTTTCTCAGGGTGAAACAAGAAATATTTGTAAGTGACAGAATATTTATCGCTCTGCTAGTGCTAGTTTCATCCTTGTATCCTATTATTTCTCTCAAACTGCTCAAGTACGCCAATTAGAAACCTTGTTCAATAAACATTTACTTTCTACCCTGCTTAACCCATCCAAATATTACTGGGATCTTATAAAGGAATTTCCACGAGAATTAAGTAAATGGAGGAAGTACCATGTCATTATTTATTTATTTAGCATCCTAAAGAACACAGCTGTCCTGGATCAATAATTATTCCTCAATGAAAATGCAGGTCACAAACAGAATACCCAGTCAGAAACAACTGCCTTCTAAACTAATCTGCCTTACAGATGAGTAAATTCACTAAACAACTTGTTAAACAAATACCATGTTTACATTCCACAATTCAAGAAAGGCAAAAGCTGAGACACATTCCCACAAACAAATAGAACATAGCAATTACTATTTTTAAACAATTATAAGAGCAGTAATACCCTGGTTTGCATCTTTGACTACCTATATTAAGAAATTAACGGTACACAGTAAGTTGAATGTCAAATAAATACTGCAGATTATTTGCTGCTGCTTATGCCTGTGCAATGCAATTCTGATTCTCTGCATATGTCCCATTTCATCAGGTCATATCAAATCATGTTTCGTCTGTGTTTACTAATTCAGCCTAAATCCAGTCACATGACACACACGTCAATGCACTTAGTATTAAAAAACACTTTCTGTAATTCCAGTTATTTTTAAATGTGAGTAGATACATCCGATTACCCAGTGACTTACATGTCAAGTTTGTTGCATTTCAAGCAAGCTTTTACTTAAGGTGCTGAGCAGTCATTTAAAATACTATTTCCCTTTACTTTTAAATTGCAACCCACAAACTACTAAGAAGTCAATTTCCTCTGTTTCTAAGAGGGGTGACTTGAGCTAATGCTAATGGAAATTACTGAGGCATACTATTAAAGTTTTAGACAGTCTCAAGTCTCCAACAAGACTAACAAGTACTGTTGTGCCACTTACAGACTGTTTTGCGAAGAGTAAAAGTTTAGCAGAAGACCATAGAAAATTTTTCCTTCTACTCTGCTCTGATTAAGTCTCATTTAAGTTGTACACATAGGACAACAAAAAATTAAACATGTACACTATGTTCTGTAAGCCTAGTTACCTCCAGAAAAACAGGAGTGAGGGGAAAGAAGGGGATGAAGAGAGAAACAACAGTTAAGTGGTTTACCTGATGCTGTACAATACTTTTCCAGTTTTAGAAATCCTCAGCAACTTGTTGTCTGTCGTGACATCATGGAAGTTTGCTCCCTTCTCATTGGCAAAGAATAAATCTGGCTTCCAAATAGAGTCCAACATAGAGGGATCCAAATCCAGGGAATCATCAGGATATTCACTGTAAGCTAGACGTGAGTCGTTCCACTGCTGTCTCAAAAAAATGTTCACTCTGTAGTCCTACAGAAATGTCATGTAAAAAGGTTACTAAACCACTTACCAAAACTGGAAGCCTACTTTAGCTTTCTTTAGGATCTTAGACTTACTACAGTACCAGTGTTACAGTAAACTATATTATCCTTTAAATATAAGAGTTGCCATTTGAAAGTAAAGTAGCATAAATGCTGTGTTGAACCAAACACAAACAACTGGTACATTTTCCAAATAAAAATTACTTCAGTGATTAAAAAAATATTAACTTCAACCTGCAATATTAAATATAACCCTCTTTCAAATGCTACGGATTAACTCAAGAGGTACTGAGAAAGTCAAAAAGCATTGCAGCTAAATATATACAACTTCAACAAAGATTCTATAAAACTACTAATTTAAATAAATTGCTTTCAATATGTAAATCAATTATTTCTAATGTACTCATGAGCAGTTGCTAATTCCAGTGAATCCAGATTTTGTACAGAATAAATTAAATCAGCACTTATTATTTAGTGTTTGCACCCTTTTTCTATCTACCGTATGCTTTTCTCTGTATGTTCCTTCATTCATTCCTCCCTCTCTGTATCCCATTAAAACAGTTCTAATTGCATTCTTCTGCTCAGTGGTCTGCTAGTCACAACTGGGAAAGGTAATGATTATTTAGAGGTTCATTTAGAACCAACATTAACACTGTGTCAAGAACTGGCTATTAAAGTGGAGTGTGAAAAAGTCTTTTAGGGTCTAAACTCTCTGGAAGGAATGGAAAGTTGCTAATGCTTACTCTCTTTATGCTGAATTTCCAATGTCAGCAAGTAAGAGCTTCATCTCCCACAGCTTTCCCTGCTAATACAGTATATTTACCTGAAATTGCTACATTTAACTTGCTTGTGAACACTGTCTTAGAAATACATCTACTCTTTCTCTAAAACAAAAATATTTAATAATATCTATATAAATTATATTATCTGAAAAAATATAATTAGCAAATAATTCTTCCAACTGTACAAACCCCTTATATTTAGGATTTGCTTCATGGTAGCAGCACTACTTTAAAAGGGCAGCGCTGTGCTTTTGACTTGGAAAATGTATGAATTGACCTGGGTTCAGTTAGGCAACTGAACTGCATAGTCTAACGAACTTATCATCCTTGAAATGTAAATAATTATTCTCACTCTGATTAGAGCTGCAGAAAACAGCTTGCCCAACATGCAGACTCTGAACAAGCCCCTCCAACCTTCAGAGTTTCCCACCCTTCATTCAGTAGATTGGTGACAAGGTGTGCTGCTGCCCTGAGAGAATACTTCTGACAACAAAACTGATGCAATTTTTGAACCCTATCAGATGGTGTTTTACAATCGCACTAGGAACATGATTTTTCTTGCTTTCCTTATAATTTTCATTTTGCTGTTGGGTAGATGCAAGTCAACAGGAATGTCTACTAATCAGAGCAAGACAGACCTGGGAGAAGTCTCAAAAATAGCATATTTATTAAAGACACTTAAAAAAGCCTGTACCTTTTTTTTTCACAAGACACTACATTTTTTATGATGGTGGTATTTCATACAGTTAAAGATCAAATAGCCACTTGCAGTTCTGAGCTTATTAAATCTCATCACATCTTTTGAGTACACACTAACCCTAAGCGTACTTTCCCTTGTTTCTTGGTCTTAGAAACTGAGTGCCTTATAAGTTTATATGGGACAGTTTTAGTTTTAATGCCAGGAAAGCACTTGATTTTCATTCTACAGAAAAGAAGGCAGGAGCTGACATCAGCAACTGCTGATAGAATAAAATTGTTACAACTAGCTGTGCAACTGCCTTTAATTTTTCTTTGAATAAGATATACAGTTAAGGCTGTGGAAAGCAGAGGGATTTCTCCCTACATGACATAGAAATCGTAAATCAGTCAAATCAGTAAATTGTTTTGAAACATCTAAAAAGAAATGTGCTTTCACAAACTTCAGTAGTTGCTGATTTAGATAATAAAAAACAGTCTGAAAAATCTTTATTCATAGAAGAGCTTGCATACGATGATATATATTATACCAAAAGCATAAATAATACCAATAGGATTGCACTATATTTTTCAATATATGCCTTCATAAATATATCACAACCATCGCACTAATACACTTAGAAATATTTTCTCTCTGCAGGCTTTGTTATTAGAAGCAAAATAGCACTGAAACCTTTGTTTATGTCTGATAGGCTTTGCATATGTATGTATATGTATAGATATTTTAATAAGAAATAAAAATGGAAGTAAAACATTACATGCACATCACAAAACTATCGTTACTGTTTTTCTCCTATGCTTACATTTTAAGCAGCTGAGAGGGATGTGTGGTTACACAGTCAGACCTAATTATGTGTAGAATTTTGAATTTACTTTTCCTGTGCTAACATTGTAACTACCTTCTGAAGAACAATTATCCTAAGAAAGGTATCACAACATGGAGCTCAGGCAGACTACAGTGTGTGTCTTGCAAGTTCCTGAGGGCAGAAGTAGGTGGACTGTAGTAATGCACTCCTACACAACCACAAGTACACCTGCTCCACAAATTCCTTCTGACAGCACTACTACTCTGAATGAGTAGTGTGGACCTGAAGATTCAACCTCAGCTGCAATACCGATGCTAGTGATAGCTCAAGGCAACTCAGATAAACAGTTTTTCTGTGTTCTCAAGCCATGAGATCAGGGTAATACTAATATACTAAAGGACTATTCATATGGTAAGTTTTAGTAGATTTACCTGAAGATTCAGGGTCTCCATCCACAGATATGCTTAGTTTTTGCCTAGGAAGCTAGAGAGAAATGGTCTGTTGGCAAATACAGGTTCACTTCTCAAAGCTTTAGCAAAGTTCTGGGTCCCTTTGGCCTCAGGCACTGCTGTGGCAGGGGCGTGCTAAAGCAGCCTGGCTCTATCTTCAGTGCTATTTTCTGTCCCTGAACTGATGCTCATCTTAGATCTTAGCCTTCTTTCTGTTTCCCCTCCAACAACAGTGATCGCCCAGGTGTTGGGTTGGATGTCTGAGGCAAACAGTGGACTTAGCTGGCCTTCCATGCATAGGAGGGGCATGCCAAAGAGTCTACTTTCTCTCTAAATCCTGAATGTGAATGTTAACTGAAAAGTAGTGGTTCAACGACATATTTCAAGGCCATGAAACAGAAAAGCACTTGGTTACCTATGTACCAAAGCATGCAAGGTGTCCCCAGTGGTTTTAGTGGGAGTCACTTATGCAGTTAAAACTAGTCATGTGAATTAATCAGGATCTAACAAGCTGATTTGTAATTATGTTTTTTCTAGTGGGAAGATAATATTGTACAGCCAGACAGCTTTATTGCTCCTAAAATTTTAAAAGGAATGGCAATTTTTTCTGCTAACATAACTGCTCAAATCACAACCGGAGTTTGATGCGTTTACCCCAACAGAAAGCCTGCTGCATAGTGTCAGTCATTGATTATAGGGCATAGCGACAATAATAATGTCCTCACAGTTAGTCATTTCTGTAATTAACAATTAGCTTGTCAATGTACAAACTGCTCTTAGCTTCTCCTACAGCTGATAGCTAAAAAATCCTGGTCATTAGCAACACTGAACATCTGAGTTCTTTGGGACTCTGCCCAGCCTGATGTAGATTACTCATCTGTGATACTCAACTGCAGTCATGCTGTACAGTGAATTTTCTGCTGAATACTGCATGTGTGATTGCTTCCAAAAATAGATACAGAGCTTACTGGCATAAAGCTTACTGCTTTATTCAGTGAAGTTACTTCTTATCTATTTCTCTTTCTTTTCAAGTTAGGGCTTAAATGAAATACAAGCAAATCAATTAGGAAAATTTCCAGAAATTCCATTCTCACTCTGGCCTTCTTTTTTACTATTTTTATTTTGGTATAATATATATCATTCTAACATGGAAGAAAACCGTTTAGTCTGGAGAAAAAAAAAAATCAATGTGATACTGTCCCATATGTGCATTATAGGGTAAAAAGACTAATACATATGTATTTTGTTTTCCTAGATTTTTGCGACCAAAACTCATGAAGACTCTATGGAATTCATCTGTTTGGAAAGAACCAGCACAAAATTCTTTTTTATTTCTGAATGAAAGGTTTTAGCTTTTATAAGAATATAAGAGTTCTGCTGGCTTTTCACACAGGGATGATTTTCACCCTGGTATCTGTCCTAATCAGAAAACAGAAGCTACTCCTGCTGATGTTATTGAGAACCTGGTTTCCTGAATTTGTAAATCTGGGACTGTAATCCTGTTTGCCATGTTAATTTCTCCTACTAAAAGCTTCTCTAAACGAGTTTTCATCTCCCAAGTTTCCAATGAGCTGCTGTAGATCTTCCACGTTATATTCTGATAATGTCTCTTCAGTACATATACATTATTTCACTAAACATTCCTGTCCTCTGAGACAGGAATGTCTCTATTGAATTTACAATCCAGAGTTTTAAATGAATCTTTTTGTTTTATGTCAAAAGCATCAAGAGCATTTTATAGGGAAAAATGAATCCTAGGAGTCAAACAAAACTCATTATTTATCACAAAGGATGCCAACATTTTTACCATATGATTACATCTATTTCAGAAAGGCAAAGTAAATGGAACAGTAATTGATGTCTGCCTCTCTTGGCAGTTTTAAAACTTCCTAAAACTAATCACACTAGTCATTAAAGACGTGACAGCATTAAAAAAATCAATATCAAACCATTCAATAGCATCTAAGAGAAATCTTTACACACTTTCAGCAGATTTTATGAACAAAGCAAAATAAGAAAACCAATAGTCTTTGTTTTCATCTACTTGAATGTTTGGCTGTTTTCAGCAGAATGTGTTAATGAACTTTGGAAAGGTGCACATTAGCATATTTGATAGAAGGTAAAATGCAATGAGGGGATTTAATCAAAGCAATGAAGGAGTCTAATTAATGCAATCAGCATTAGATCGTGCAAATATTTTCATTGAATGCCATCTTGTAAAGCCAGTGACGTGCAGGATTTTTGCTACTTAATGCTATGCTGATACTTCTACACGCTAGGATCAACAGGCATGGCTGGGTTAAAAAACTCTACATTCATAACTATCTTCTCAGAATCCTTTAAACATAGGAAAACAAATGAAGTTTTCCCAAAAAATGAAAATTAAGTCTGTTGGCAATTATGTTACATCAAGACAGGATTTTTCCTGACATTTTTAACTTGATTTTAGTTTTCTTTTAATGTTTTTTTTTAAATTACAGATACATACTCTAAAGCATTAACTTACCTTTTTTATTTTATAGCTCTGTATGATATTGTTTGTCATTTATAGAAGAGACTTTCCCACACTATTTAAGAAAGCAACCTGCCCTAGTAATAGCTTGCCCTTTATCTCTAGAAAACATTAAATAACAAGGTGGTTTTTTAAAGAAAAATATTCAGGAGCCGAAGATTTGCGTTCCTACATTCCTTAGGCACCACTTTCTAAAATGATGGCATGAATTACAATTGAATTTAAATGAAGTATTTGAATATTAAATAAAATAATTAAGTTGGGCTAAATATATGTTTTTCCTTCATAATGCAAGGATTGCAAGGCAGTATCTATCTCATTTTCTAAAAAAATAGGTCTTTGGTATACCTTAAGTCCTTTTGTGGGTAGCAAGTTCATTTCTAGTTACCAAAAACTCAGTCCTACAGGATGCTAAGCACCTTTATTGCCTCTGCCTTCAGCAAATACAGAAAGATCTGGACACTGTGTAGGAATCTTTGGAAGACAAAGTTGTGAAGCTACATTGCAATTGCTTCAAAAGTTTCCATAGCTGTCCATAGTGGCAATGAGAATAACTCTTGCAAAATTTCAATGAAGGTGAGAGCACCCATTTTTAGTTTATTTTGTAGTAGCAATGATGAAGAGTTCAAAGTCAAGCTGGGATTTTTCACTAGACCCTTCCTAGAACGGGTTTAACTCACTTCTTATATGTGAGCACCTGATAATTATTATGGGTTTATCACATTATTATAAGAAAGCCATGGAAAATCTCTGTCTGGACTAACCCCTATAGTCAGGTGTATGTATGCTTGAATAAATAACTGATCTTTTTTGTTCATTGTTAAAAAATAAATAAATAAAAACCTCAACATCTTTTTAAATGGACTCAGAAAAAATCTTTTCCATTTTTCTTGGCAAAGATTAAAAAAAAGAAAATTAATTTCTAAACTAAAAAAGAAAAAAGTTGGACAAAAATATTCATTGAAGTATTTTTAGCCTGACTTCATTAATGAAAAATTGAACTATTTTTTTTATATGGATCAAAATTAAAATTCTGACATTTTCTTTTTTACTTTTTTTATTTTGACTGATAACATTCTTTGGATTCAATCAAAATATACATTTGAGTCAGCTGGGATCCTATAATTTCCTAATACCAATTTAACCCTCAAAATACCCATGTTTCCTTATAGCTATATATTTTAGTCATGTGATTCAAATTATACATTCACTTTGCCTACCGATGTGGTTGCAATTCACAGAGATTTAGCTAAGTTAAACGAGACCATTCTGGTAGCTCTGTCAGCACAGTCTGCAGGAGCAGATAATTCAGCATATGGCATAAGACCCACTGAAAATACGGAGTACTTGGCAGGGAGCCCCACAGCTGAGCTCCAGACACTCCTCTGCCTCTTCAGCACTAATAAAACCTGAGAAAGCTGATTTGCACACACCTATATTTGCTGCCATCATGGTCCCTACAGACTACGGTGTAGTCACTACATATGCACATTTCGACTTAGGTAGATGAGTTTAACAATTCATATATCTCTTTATATAGCTATTTTATATTTATTTTAATTCAGCTGGTAGGTTTTTAGTAGCTTAATAACTTAATAAATGTCCCCATGTCCTGAGTATCTCTATACTACATCACATCCCACTGCTTCACAAGATGGCTTCAATGACCAGTCCCACTCACCATTGTAGTTTCTGCTATTGAACCAAAGCTGTTGATAAATATGTTGCAGGTAACATTTACAGGAGGACCTGCAAGTTGAACAATAGATAGAAAAATTGACAGGTTGTGTTCATGACATATATTAAGTATTGTTGTTCTCTTGCCAATGGTATCATAGCACTTACCATTGTAGTTTCTGTGACTGATCCAAAACTGTTGATAAAAATATTGCAAGTAACGTTTACTGGAGGACCTGTGGAATGCAATAAAAATGTTGCAATACACATTGAAACAAAAGTACAGATCCCTCAGCCTCCGTACAATCTGGTACAGGTGTGGCTGAAAACAAGCAGAAAGTGAGTTTTCCCAAACAGATCATGTAAATATCAATCAAAAGAAAAACATTAGCAATATTAATTTAATTAACCTAGTTTCATTAGAAGTTGTTATATAAATACACAGAGACACATCCTTCCATTTGAGGATTTATGAGAACAGCTGAGTAAGGACATGAGTATAACAGCTTCTTTACCGATAGTATCAGAGCAGAATATACTTGAGCACTGCAACCACTCCTCTCTCCCTTCCTTCTCAGACTTAAAATATTATCTCTCCACATCTATTCCACTGTGTATGCAAAGGCTTGCCAATGAAATTCACAGCAAGAGCCACTTCTCACACTGACTCCAGTCCACTGAAAATGGACTTAGGCAAAGAGCTCTTTGTGGACCTGCTCTGGAGATCACAGAATCACAGAACCGTAGAATGGTAGGGATTGGAAGGGACCTTTGAAGATCATCTAGTCCAACCCTCCTGCCAAAGCAGGTTAGAGGGTTGGACTAGAGCAGGTTATACAAGATTGTGTCCAGTCAGTTTTGAACATCTCCAGAGAAGGAGACTCCACAACCTCTCTGGGCAGCCTGTTCCAGTGCTCTGTCACCCTCACAGTAAAGAAGTTTTTCAGCTGGAACTTCCTGTGTTCCAGTTTGTGCCTTTTTCCCCTTGTCCTGTCACTGAGCACCACTGAAAAGAGTCTGGCCCTATCCTCTTGATACCTGCTCTTTAGATACTTATAAGCATTGATAAGATCCCCTCTCAGTCTTCTCTTCTCCAGGCTAAACAGACCCAGGTCTCTCAGCCTTTCCTGATAAGAGAGATGCTGCAGTCCCTTAATCATCTTCATATACCTCCACTGGACTCTCTCCAGTAGTTCCAGGTCTTTCTTGAACTGGGGAGCCCAGAACTGGACACAGATGTCTGCCTTGCCATAAACAAATATTTTAGCATTATCTGGCTTGACACAGCTTTTGTTAAATGACTATTTGTAATCTCTTCCCTCATTTCCTGCTATTCAGCAGTCACTGACGTGTAGCAGAATGAAAGGGGACTTGACTTAATATTTAATTAGCTGTCTATTAGCCTCATAGTTTTTTCAGATGTGATGAAATAAACAGGGTTTCTCAACTGAATCAAAAAGGATTAATGCGAAATGCTGGAATTTCCGTGACACAGAAGTCAATACAAACATAGAGTATCAAGTACTTTCTTCTCTCTTTTCTCATTATTATTTTTAATCATGTAATTTTCTTTAACTTTTTTAAAATGTCAGTGCACAGAATATTAATACCTACCTTTGCTTTCATATTTAGACCTGAAATTGTTTTACAAAATATGGAAATGTTTATTTTTTTAACAATGGAAAGATACAGTAATGTGCCCAGTGAAACCTAGTACACTATCAGCTTCCTGAGTGCCAGACTACCCACCTGAAGCAAACTTGTCAGTTTTGGGAAGAAAAAAAACAATGGTAATATGTTTCAAGGCTGTTAAATTGCAATGAAGTGTGTTGTTCAACTCAGTTTTTGCAACAACTATTTTTTAAAAAAACACTTCCTTTTTAGCTTGTAAATGTGCTAATGACTCTTCTCCACTGACTTTTTCTTGATCCAGACTTTCCCACAGGTCTCAGGGGCAAGGGATTCCTGAAGACTAGTCTTATCAGTAAACGCTGAGATGAAGGAGGCATTGAGTGCTCTGGCATTTTCTCATGCTCTTTGTCAACTTTTCTTTAATCTCATGGTGTTGTCTTGCAGAAGCCGCCATATGTGAGCACTACAACTTTCAATTCCTGAGTGCCAGTAGAACCTAGTAAACATTCCAGACTGTAGTTCAGATGTGCACTAAGTAGGTATATGCTAGAGCACTCTGTCTTACAACAAAGAAAATGTTTCTCTCCATTTCTCTACTCAGTTGTATAATGTCTTTTACTTGCCTTCTGCTGGTAGATCTAGAATATTATAAGAATTCAGTAAATCTGAGTACTACCAGCAAAAACAGTCACATTCTCTTCATCCTCAGTTTTCTGGAAAGCACTTTATTGTTGAGATATGACCAATCCAATTTTTTTCAAATAATTTGTGTTTGTTTATAAATATCAAAAGTGTAGTGCAGGATTTGCAACCAAATGAGAACAGAATATACTTATCAGAGGATCTTAAAAACTAACATTTGATGATATAACTTACAGATTCTAAGCTAAAAGTCCAACTTTCTCTTAAAGTCAATCTGCTAGTGATGGAGTTCCTAAATGGGCATAGGAAACATGACCCAAATGAAGTAGATAGGAAAAAGATGACTAACTGAATTTGCAATGCTTTTATTTTTATTTTTTTTTCCTACTGCTGATATTTTTCCAGTGGGAAAGGGGTGTATAAGTGTTGTACATCTTAGGGAAGAAGTGCACTTTAAAGAGGGCACACAATATTACTTTTTCCAGTGAAACATTTCACACACTCCATCATATAAGATTTTTCTAATCCAATAGTTTATTTAAAATGAAAGCAGTAAGCTTCTATGAAGTACAGCCAAGTTTTGGGAACAAAATCTAACACTCTTCAAAGGCAATGGAAACATTTGATTTGACTTTACTGCCTAAAATCTAAAAAGAGTTGACATTACCTCTAAAAAATTAAGCAAAGTATACTTTATAATGAAATTCTTTTTTCATTCTAACTTTTATTTTGGCACTTCCAATGCAACAAGGTAACAGTACAGGTACCTTTCAGGCACATTCCAGATACAGTGATTTTCGAGTCATAAGGAAAATTACTGTTTCTTGAAAGGACTCAGGCAAAAAAACCCACCAACAACAAAAAAACCCAACCCAAACTCAAAACAGGTATCTAATGCTCAAATCCACCAGAAAGCAGATGCCTGGTATTCTGACAAACAGCTAAGATATCGCTTCTGTTCCCCTGCAGCTCCCATCCCCCTGCTTCCCCAGAGGGTCTGTTGCTGCTGCCAGTGGATGGAACTCTCCAACACACTGCCTTCTGGAAAAGATCTGACATTATAATGTATCATACACCTCCCGTGACTTTGGGGCACTAAGCACTTACAGAAAGCCTTCAGCACTCATCTGCTCTCCTTACCCCACAAGAAACCTGAATATACTGAATATTCCCTGGAATTTGCTGTGGCATATTGCCTCATAGCTCCTGTATCAAAGGTGGCTGTGACCTTGTTGCTGTTTGGCTAGATAGTGAATCCTTTCCTTGTCAGCTGCCAGAGGGAGTGAATCCATCCCAACTCGTGGAGGAGTCCCCATGCTGAGTGATGGGTCCTGAAAGACGTATGTTGAGCCCCATCCACTGCTAACTGCAGCTTTTGCTCAATACTCTCCAGTATTGATAACACACAGCCACAAAGCCTCCTTCATTTGGTAGGTTCCTGAGAAGATTTACTTTTACTCTTGCCCTGGAGATCATCCTAACTGCAACTAATCATATCTGTATTCTCACACACATCCCAACTCTGCCTTTTTGGTATACAGTTACCAGGCTGCACCTGGCAGCCTTTTTCTCTTCACATTAATTTCAGTCATATGGTTAAAATGTCCTTAGTGGGAATATTATAATCATACAAGAGATTTAAAATGATACTTGTGCATTTGCCAATTTTCTTTGATATGTGTATTTATTAAGGGATTTTGTAAGGTAAACTAAAATACGACACACACACAGTGAACTGTGGGTAAAGCAGAGAGATGGGGAAGCAAAAATGAGAGATAATGAGGCAGATCCACCTCTTGGAATGACAGTGAAAATATTGGCAAAATATTTACAGAGCTGGGAAAATCATAAAGTCATAGAATAACTTGGGTTGGAAGGCACCTTTAAAGGTCCCTTTAAAGGACGTTTAAATCCAACCCTCCTGCAACGAGCAGGGACATCTTCAAGAAGTGTCTTTCTCTATACATAGCATTTTTTGGTCTGCCTTCTGACTTTGGCCCGTGTGCCAATGGAAAGGATTTTTTTCTCCACCATCTTGGATGGTTTATTTTGTTCCATAGACAGGGAAGAAAGGTGAGGTGAACTGCCTTTCTACCTTTACCACAGAGAGGGGGATAAGCATCAGGTCTGTTTGAAAAGACCAAAATCAATCCCAGCTGAGTGTAGGGATGGAGCAGGTATCCAGGAACAGGACCAAGAAGCAAAGTGAAGTGGTGGTGATCCCACTAGGGACTGAGCATCCCTTCCTCTGTGGAGTGGGGATTTAATGTCTGAGCTTAAACGAGGGAGGGGAGCAAAATGTGGGTGAAGGCAGGATTATGACCCACATGCTGACCTCAGCCCTGGTAACACGGATCCCAGGACAGCAGGACAGTAGCAGAACTTTTTGGAGATGGTCTATTAATTGACAGTTCTGGAGGTAGCTGAGGTTTTAGCAACGATTTCTCCTCAACCAAACTGAACAGCCTCCAAAGTCCAGCACAGTCCTTATGAGACCTGAAACAGAACTAACCCCTATGGATGTCTCTGCTTTTTCAGCTGCAGTACTACAGGCACCTGAATTACCACTTCAAGACCTTGCCAATGCATCTCTTCATATCCCTGCAGGCATATGCCTGTATGTCAGCAAGGCTGAACTACTGCTGGGACAGCTCAGCTGGGCATGGCCATTAGGCAGGAGCAAGTTGTTAATCCTCTTAGCTTCTTCCCTGCTCAGAGTGAGGCAGGCAAGGTAAGGACTTGAGAAGTGCTATCAAAGGCAGTTCAGCCAGACCTGTGGCCAGGGGCTACAGATATTGGGCCAGGGAGAGGAAGGCAACTTTGATGCACTAGAAAAGTTCCTCTGAGCCACAGGGATCCTGCAGCTACTCCAGAAGCAGAGCAGCTTGCACACTTGTTTTCAAGGATCTGTGTAATGCACAGTCCAACCCTTGGTGAGAAAATTCACATGATTTAACAAGTT